AACAAAAATTTGAGAAGGAAATCATTGAATCAAAAATCTCAGTGGATTAAATCAAATTCAAAAGGTTTCCCAACAAAATATTGAGAGATGTAGATATATCAAATGTTGTCTGAAATCTAAGGGAATTAATTTGGTCATGTTTGAAAGGACATTAAAAGAAAAAGAGGAAAAAAAAAGAAAAGAAAAAATAAGATGTAAAAAGAGAAACCACATAAAAAAATAAATGTGTTCATTAACAAATGACATTGAATTGAACTTTTTTCTACAAGACAACCTGAGAAAAATCCTAATTAACAATTTAGCAAAAAAATATGCCCTCTTTTGAAATTTGCATCTTGTCAAATTTTGAATAAGGAAGAATTTGGGAAGATTAAAGGATTGTAATCATTTTAGATTTGAATTTTCAAAAGAATATCACACATACCAAATTGGAAAAAAAGTTTAAGATTGATAGTTAGTTTTGATTCATAAAAGAATATGTTTCTTGCAAAACAAATAAAATAGAATTATTATCAATGCTTTGATGCAGAATTTGTTGGTCTTTGAATGATCTAAAATTGTATTATTTTTTTTAAATGAAAAATTTTAATGCTGGACAAATTTAATTCCAGGAAATTTGCCAGCAAAATAAGTGTAAACTCAATTTTATTTAAAGCAGAATGTTCATAAGTTAAAAAATTATTACCAATGTCTTATACCCAACAGAACTTGTATTTGCTACAAAAGAATACAAGTCTTGTTGAAAGTGATTTTTTTTTATGTCATTTTCTGGTGAGAAATTATTTTTGTGGGCAAGTATTAACATGTGATGTTTATTTTTGAAATAAGCAGGTGAAAACAAAAACCTATGTTCTAAGAAACATTGTATTAAAAGTATTGGACTGGATGGAAATATTTGTTATTTGGGAATAAATGCTTATTGTAAACTATCATTTGGACAAAACAAAATAAAAAGTGACAAAAAAAAAAAATGAATAAAGAATTAAAATGTTTTCCTGATGTTCTGTCTAATGAACTGGGTCGGTGAGCAAAATTCAAGGCAAATTTTTAAGTAAAAAAAAAAAAGTTCAACACCAGTATTTAAACCAAAACGAAGTGTACCATTCATAGCATTAGAATAAGTAAATGAAGAGTTGGATAGACTAGAAAGAATTGGTGTATTGTAGAAAATAAACCATTTGAAATGGGTTGCATTGGTGGTGTATGTAAAGAAAAAAAATGACAAAATTTGTGTGGATTTCTCGACTGTATTAAATAGTTGTCCCAAAACACACAATTATCCATTACCAAGTACAGAAGAAAATTTTTCAAAGTTGAATAGCAGAAAAATATTTTCAAAGCTGGATCTCTCTGAAGCATATTTACAAATTCAGATGGAAAAATCAAGATTCTGAATTAACAATCATAAATATACACAGAGGTTTATATAAGTTTAATCAACTTCCTTTTGGTATAAAGGTGGTACCACCTATTTTTCAACAAGCCATGGATACGATGCTGGCGGATTGTGATTTCACAATAGCGTATCTGGACAATATTTTAATCAAAAGTGTGTCAAAAGAACATGTTGGGCATGTAAAAACAATCATGCAAAAACTGAGAGAATATAGATTCAATCTTAATGAAGAAAAATGTGAATTGTTTTCGCTAAAAATACCTGGGTCAACTTATTGATAAAAATGGTAAGAAACCAGATCCATTGAGGGCAAATGTAATTAGAAATACATGTGCATCAACAAACATAACTCCATTACAAGCTTTTTCTTAGGACTAGCTAATTATCAGATTTATGTACATAATATACATAATTTGACATCTCTACTTAACAATCTACTGAAAAAAAGACTAAAATGGAATTGGGATCATAAATGTCAAAAGGCATTTGATGAGATAAAAAAAAGTCTTACATCTGATTTATCACTAGCACACTAAAGGCAAAAATTTTAGTAGCATCAGATGCTAGTGATTTTGGTGTTGGAGTGGTGATTTTGCATAAATATGATGGTGGTAAAATGAAAGCACATGTTTCACACTCGCTTCTAACGTCAGAGAAGAATTACAGCCAGATAGAGAGAGAAGCTCTAGCAATCATATTCTCTGTGAAAGAATTCCATAAATTCATTCAAGGAAGAAATTTGATGTTGCAAATAGACCATAAACCATTACTAGCAATATATGGTTCAAAGAAAGGTATACCTACCCATACAATTAACTGATTATAGTGCTGGGGTACCATCCTGTAAAATTATAAATTTACCATGGATTATCAAAAAAAAAAAAAAAAATTGAACATCTAGATGGATTATCAAAAAAAAAAAAAAATTGAACATCTAGATGGATTATCAAAAAAAAAAAAAAAAAAATTGAACATCTAGATGGATTAAAAAAAAAAAAAATTGAACATCTAGATGGATTAAAAAAAAAAAAATTGAACATCTAGATGGATTATCAAAAAAAAAAAAAACAAGATGGAAAAAAAAATTGAAGAACTAGATGGATTATCAAAAAAAAAAAAATTGAACATCTAGATGGATTATAAAAAAAAAAAATTGAACATCTAGATGGATTATAAAAAAAAAAAACCATTGTAGGATAAGCTCATAGAAAGTGCTAAAAGTTAGATAGAAATTAAAAACAAGTATGTAGTATAGGAATCCCGAAAAAGGACATCTTTATTGTTAAATTAAAGATGCAATTAAAAGAAACTAAAAAAGAACAGAATCAAGAATTGAACGCGTACTTGATATGTGATGGTGTTGTAATGTACTTTCAAAGTAGGCAATAAAATATTCTTTAGAGTGTACAAGGATGGAAAGGAAACATGCGAAGATGGTGTAATAGCAGCTAGAATCTGAAAATTAGTTTACATGGTGAAAGGAAAAAACATAAAAGGCACCAAAATCAATTGAAGGAAAGACTAACTGATGAAAGACCTGAAGAACCGGTTAAAATGCTGTACAACATTTTAGTTGTGCCAGTACCAAAACAAATCATGGATCCAAAACAGAAACTTTACAAAGTAAAGTCTGTTGGTGAACTCTTCAGAAAGAGCAAGTAGAGATACTAATATGAAATAAAAATAAAAAATATATTTATTTAATAAAATAGTAATTTCAAAAGGCGGGGATGTTGTTGGGGTAAAGAGTACACCTCTGGTGACTCAATGAACTCATCCAATACTATAAAGAGTTCCATGTTATGAGCTCGAAGGTATTAGAGTAAGTTTTCATACTAACTATACAGATGTTACAGCAATAGCCTAAGCAATAAGTATAGAGAATACTTTAATGAATTACGTTATACCAACTACAAGTGTGTTATAACAATAACCTTACAATAGGAAGTTATAATATAAAGAAAAATTGGCAAAAAGTTACTGAAATTATATAAAGTAAGAATTCAAATGACTTTGGTCAATTTTTACTATCACACCTGTCTCCCATGTTAACCTTTTGCGTATGTTCAATTCTGACCTTACTTCACTATCATTGGCTCGTTGACTACTTAAAAAGCATAAAATAATAGTCGGGGATAAGATGGGAGTAATAGTAAAATAATACCAACAACCGAGTGTAATAGTAAAATAATACCAACAGCAAACTGTAATAGTAAAATAATATGAACAGGTATGATGTTGTATTGTGTTTTGTTTGGTTTTAAAATAAATGTCTTCTACACAAGACATCAGTGTTTGTACTTTGTAAAAGGTTTCAATGATGACATGTCACTTAATTCTGCAATGATTTCAGACTGAAGAAATCTAATCAAAGTTCAATAAATCATAATGAATTTTTACAAGAATTGTTGGTAAATTTTTACTATTACACTCATCTCCCATGTTGACCTGATGTGTGTGATCAGTTCTGTCCTTACTACACCATCTTTTGCCAGTTGATAACTTAAAGAGCATAAAATAATGGTTAGGATTGAGACAGGTGTAATAGTAAAATAATTCTAATGCAAGGAAGTTGTATTTTGAATGGATCAATTCCTCGCTCCCAGCTAATGTTTACTTTACAAGAGCCACTCAAGGTAGAGAGTTATTGTAGGAGTTTGTTGTGTGGGAGGTATGAGTAAGAGGTAAGAAGCACAGTTTATCGAGATATGTGGAAAAACTATTGGTTAACCCTAGACTTGAAAAGGTTAAGATTGTAGTGGTCAAGAAAGCACCCTCTTGGGAATTGATTCAACAAAGTAGTGGTTCAAGAGAAGAATCTGTTTGAGTGGAACTTCCTTCTTACTAATGGAATGAAGATGGTTTGATATGTGTATGTTGCATGGCAGGTCTTATCTGTGAGGCTTAGTTTTGGTGGAACTAAGAAATGTAGCTTGTCAGAAGATTTGCCATGGACATAATGATAAAGTAGCAAGAGGCTTGCAGCATTTAGTCTGTGAGGAAGGGGATTTAAAGAGGAAATAATTCATCACCCACAAGGATGCATAGACACTCTATCAAGCCTGGAAAGTGAAGACTTGGTAGCTCCAGTTCAGATATAGCAGCAGTATTTCATTTTCAGTCTGATCTGGGTCTTGTAAGCATAGAATATAGCTGGAGTAGTCAGGTACTTACTGGAGCAGTACATGGAACTGACCATTTTCCTAGTATTTTTAGTGATGGATTGTATATACAAGTCCCACTTGGGGTCTGCTTAAGTCCCAATAAGTGTTTAACACAAGAGGCCTCCATGAGAGAAAACCTGTTCATTATGATAGGAAAAATTCAGCATTTACTTGGTGATGATGTAATGTTACTAGATTGGTTTGGAGGAATAAAATGTTTCTAGTATGGTTTTGGAAGTATTGAATGTTACTAGCTTGGTTTGGAGGTATTGAATGTTTCTAGTATGGTTTTGGAAGTATTGAATGTGACAAGATAGTTTCAAAAATTATTTTTCTTATATAGATCTGCTGAGCCTTCAACAACTACAACAACAAACACCAAAGTGGATTCTGGGATGAAACATCAACCTGTCAAACTGACCAGTATCTTAACTCTTCAGAAAGAATTTCAAAAGAATTATCACTCAGGTAATTCCTTTTGATTTGATGATTATATATATTTTGTTTCATAATTTTTCAATCATTCATTAGGACTTTTGACAAGTATTCACATATATATTGTTGGATTTACTGACCCCTGATGATAATCACAGATGGCAAGATATTGAATTACTGTCCCCTGATGGTAATCACAGGCAGTACAAAATTTGAAAGCTTCTTCCTATTTCCTTTAGACTTTGGCAATGACAAGATGTCTCTTTTTACTCTGTCGGCATGTAAGTATCTCAGAGACCTACTGAAAATTGCTTTGAACTTTTCACAACTTCATTCCTCAATTTTCTTTTTGTATTATGTATATGTTCATATATACTTATTTGTTTAAATTCCATATTTTTGTTTTTTATTTTTACCTGAACTCACATGAATCCACCAGTATTATTATGGATGGGATATATATATATATATATATATATATATATATATATATATATATATATATATATATATATATATATATTACACAAAAATATCTTGTAATACTAAGGAGTGAATTTATTTAATAAACTTGCCATTGGCTTCAACCACTGCTTCCAGACGACTTTGGAATCTCCTGCAACTCTCCTGGACGGTCTTCTTTAATTTGGCGAATGCTGTCATAATCCTTGCCTTCAGTTCATCTTTGGTGTTAAAGGAAGTTTTGATGGTTTCTTGCTCAACTGTGCCCCTCACATAATAATCAAAGGGGGGATTAGGTGGCCAGATGTAAGGGTTGATGTGGTCACAGAAATTGTCTGACTTCCCCTGCTTGTGTGGCATGATGCAGAGTCCTGTTGCCCTATATAATATCTTCCAGCAGCCACCCTCTTTACCTAAGCCAGCACTACCCCATCAACAGACTTGATATAGGCATCTGTGTTGTGTCTGAGGCCCTCACCAAAAAATTCAGGAGTTCTTTTCTTATCAGAATGGTCAAAGTGAGTTTTCTGAGCTGCCATACCTTTGTAATCTCCATTAGACTCATCTAACTCTTTCCAAATCCTCTGCACTATCCTCAGATTGACACCCAAGCACTCTGAAGTTTTTGTATTGGAGCATCTGGTGCGAATGCCAAGCAGTACAGCACATCATTTCCAAATTTCTGGTGGAGTGACTTGGGTCATGGTGCTCTTTTTCTCATAGATGGTTCCCAACTGACCCAACTATACTGTGCAGTTAACAAAATCAAAAACGAACAACACACATGCACAAAATTAAAAATATAAAATAGCGACAGTTAACCCATCGCACCCTGTGTGTGTGTGTATATATATATATATATATATAAACACAGGGTGAGTTAAAAGTCGTGCACCATAATTTTAATGGATAGCTCAAAGAAGTCTTGTTGAGTGCCCACACTGAAGTCAAGATTTCATACTCTAGGATTATTTTCTGTAGGGCTATTTGAAATCAGTTTTTGATTAAAAACTATGCAAGTAATATTGAAGGACTTAAATATTTTACATAGGAATGCAATAAAATGACAGTGGAAACTCTTGGACATGTTAATGAATCTGACAGGCACAGAATTGAAGTGTGTTTTGTAAAAGAAGAAACATTTGTTTTAACAATTAGTCAGTAAATAAAATTTCATGTGTAATTATTTTTGGAAAGTCCATATGGTGTGTAACTTGTGCCTCAATTAGAAAAACATATATATATATATATATATATAAATATATATATATATGGAGAGTGGTTTGGTGATAGTTAAATTGAATCAAACACATCCTCTGAACCAGGATGAAAAGTATGTACATTTCATTTTTCGTGATATATTTTACCCTTTCTTTTCCATTTTGCCCTTCTATCATACTTCACGTCATATGTTTATTTATTTATTTTGAAATAATAATGCATTCATTAATTTTTTAAAAGAATAAAGCGTTAGGAAATCAATGGACCAAAATCACCTGAAGATATTGAAAGGTTGAAACCAATATAGCGGAATTGGCTGATCTCCTAATTTTTATACCTAAAAGCTCTACCTGTAAATTTTTATGTGTATTGAGCACTTTTTAATACTACTGTTCCCTACCAACTCTGACCATTTAACATTTTTTTATAATTATATATATATATATATATATATATATATATATATAGTGGTCAACACCAAGTGGTGATAGTTAAATGGTTGAATGCAAACACATTCATATGAACCAGGATGAAAAGTATGTACATTTCATTTACCCACCCCCACTGATATATTTCCAATACCCTTTCTTTTTCCATCCTCCTCTGCCCTTCTATCATACTTCCGTTTGTTTATTTATTTAAAATAATAATGCATTCATTAATTTTTAAAAGAATTTGGGAAATCAATCAAAAAATGAAGATATTGGGGAAACCAAAAAAGGAATTGGCTGATCTCCTAATTTTTTAAAAAAGCTCTACCTGTAAATTTTATGTGTATTGAGCACTTTTTTAATACTACTGTTCTACAAACCATTTAACATTTTTTATAATTATATATATAAATATATATATATATACAAATATAGATAACTATACTCGTTTCAAAAACCCTTGAATCTTTGATTTGCCAATAATCAAAAAAACTTGGGGGAAAAAAAGGTTTAAAAAGAAAGAAACAAACATGAAACTGTTGAAAAAATCGCACAGATGCAGGTTTGAAGCTCAAAGAAAAACCCTGATACAAGTAAACCTAACTAAAAAAACCTAGAGAGACCTAAAGACCTAGTGAGTTAGACAAACCTACCTAGGTTTTCACTAAATGGATCATCAGGAAAGTCGACTCCCTGACGATCCGTTTAAGTGAAACCTAGGTAGGTTTGTCTACCCCACTAAGTTTATCTCTCTCTCTCTCTCTCTCTCTATATATATATATATATATATATATATATATATATATATATATATATATATATTAGACAATTTTAATAAATTGAACTGACAAAATAGAAAAACATTTTGCAACAGGTTATGTTATTTGTTATCGTTATGTATGACCAACATAACAATAATAAAATTACTTTGTGCCTTTCATAATTTCCTTTCCTTATCATTTGTTATAAAAAACAAACAAAATGATGTTGATTAGTTCTTATTTATATAATTCAAGAAACCTTAATATTGGGTGAATTTATATTAACATCTGTATCAACAGAATATCATGAAAAATAAATACATTTTTCATTGCAGGTTTACGAGAAATCTTCCAAAATCATAAATTTGTTGGTTGTGTCAGTAAAGAACTTGCCTTGATACAGCATCAAACCAAATTGTATCTTGTGAATACCTTTAAACTCAGGTAAACTTTTCTTGGCATGATGGAGTTTTTCCATTTTTAAAGAAAACTTTATATATGCACACACACACACACACACACACACACAAACATATTATATATAACAGATCGCTCTTCACTAATGAATAGAGCACTCTGGCTGTCTGGCATTTGTTTACATTCATAGAAACAATACACTAGAATTTGTTTTTCTCTCTACTGAAATGCCGATGACTTAAGAGTAGAAACTCTGACTGATACCAAATTGGTCAGATTTCGATCCTGGCTTGAAGTATCCAGTTGTCTAATCACACTGATGAGCTGTGATACAGTGAAACGGGCCTGTATGCAAATGACATTTTATTTATATATATATATATATATATATATTCTAGTGAGCCAGTCAAGTGTAGACATTAACATAATAAATATATATATATATATATATATATATTTCTTCTTACTATAAACACTATTTTTAGTTTGTACACATTTGAGTTGACATCCCTGTATTTTATTAAACAGTGAAATTAATATCAAACTACTTAGAAAAAGAAGCCCTACTAAATAAAAGTGTGCCTCCCAACAGGTATTGAACTGGCCTTTCCTTTTTTCTATTTGTTCCACCTCAAGTCATTGGAAAATGTGAGGCCAAGGAGATGCAGTGAGACACTCTCACGGAGTTAAGCATCAGACATACTGATGTGGGGCAAGGATATTTCTCTGTGGCAGTTAAATGAGAGCAGTTTATTTTTGGAGGCATTAAAATTTAGAAGCCATTTCTTGCCTCAGTTAACCACTGATTGGAGATTCTTTTCAAGATCAGCGGCCAGGTTAACTTTGTCAGTGCTTCCAGATTTACTATTGAGACAGGAGTAAATGGTAGTGTTGTCTACATAGATGCCTACTTGAGAACTGATGACATAAGGAAGATCATTGTTAAAGATCAGAAACTGTGTAGGACCCAGGATAGAGCCTTGGGAAAATGGGAAGAGAACTCATTCATAACAACCTACATTTCACGGTTTGATAGGAACGATTGGATTAAATCAAATAATCGTTCTGTCATACCATAGACCTGAAGCTTACATAGAAAGCCAGCCAAACCCTATCAAACACCTTAGAGATATCTAGTGCCACAACTTGAGCTTTGCCGTTATTATCAAGAGCTTGTTATACATATTCAGTTATGGCAGTAAGTAGACCAAGCCAAACACTTTTTGGGGTTATTGTTGTAGGCTGGTGGTGTTTTCCTTATTTCCATGATATTTTTGGTGTATTTTTGTTTTTAATTTTGTAGAATAAGCGTGCATGGTCAAGTGGAATTAAGATTCTCAATAACAATAAGAGAGAGAAGAAAAAAATGAACAGGGCAAAATAATGAAACAAAGCAATATATAATGCAAAAGCAAAGTAACTGTAAGACAATAACAAAGTAAAAAGTTAACAAAATAGAAATATTCACATGCAAAAGGGATACAATCTAGTGATTATATAGCCTTCTGAATTCAAGACTAGAAAGAAAAAATGTGGGGAAGTAAAACTGAGAATTGTCCATTTTTATTAGCTAGAAAGTAATTCCAGCTTGCATCTGTAGGATTTGTCTATAAATGTGGAGAGGGAAGGTTTTAACATTCATTCCTTAGATTAAAACCAACATTTCATATTTAAGTTCCCATATATGTTTAGGAAGAGTTGTGCTGTTTGCATATTTACTATTATTAAAGGATGTTTTGTGTGCACAGATTTCAGTTACTCCTATGTATATATTAGTTGCTTGGTATTTTTGCAGGCAATTACTGTTTAAGGGGCATTCATGCTTTACTCAGCAGTTATAGTTGGGATTGGGTGATTTATTGGTTATGTTTCTATTTTACTGTTTTATTATTTTTGTCATGTGTTTGGTGCAACTGTAGCTGATTTTTAATGTTTGGTATAAGAGGTTTGATCAAAAAGTATTGGGACTGTTGCTAGGGTAACAGAGCTAGTACACAGGGTGATGCTTGGTACAGATTGACCTTGAACTCTGTCACACATACACACTAATTTATAATGCTGTCACTCACTTCTGTTGTTTATAGCAGTGCTTGGAAGGAAAGTGTGTAGAATGTGGTCATCTCACTACAGCACAGAGATTCCATCAGTGGACAAGGCTTGTGCAGTAGTTTTTGGCTAATGACAACATTCCCCTGGTCTGACAACTACCATATTCTCCAGATCTCACCCCATGAAAGTTTTTCTTCTTCAAAAATCAAAACCCATTTGAAAAACAAAATTTCAAGACATTGAGGAATTCCAAGAGAATGCTGTGAGGCAGCTGCTTCTTTTCCCAAGAAATGAGTTCCAGGAGCTTCCATCAATGGAAATGATGCAGCATAATGTGTGGCTTCAGAAGAAGACTACTTTGAAGGAGATTAAATGCCGAATTGATATATGTTGTAGTTTTCTTTTATAGCACCATTCCTTATATTTTTTAATCTGACCTCATATAAATGATTTTTTGATATTATTCTGTTGAATTCTACACAAAATTGTATTCATATATTAAAAATGAACTAAAAATACTTTCTTGGAATGAAATTAAGTGATGACTTTCTCTTTCTTTCTGTAAACAGCCGAGAACTTTTTTACCAGCTTTTATTGTTGGATTTTGGAAATTTTGGTGCAATTCGACTCTCGGTAATTATTTTCCTCTCTCTTTCCCTTTGTTGTTAAGAACTTATCCAGAAAACTGTCCAAATTCAATTGGCAGAGAAACAGTTGGATTGATCATGTTGATTGATATTTAATAAACAAATAATATCTAAACCCAAGGTATCATATATTAATTTACCTACACTAAATGTAGCCATCTCTTCTACTCCAATAGCTTCATGTCTTGCACCTCTCGCCTGTGGAGAGCTATAATCTCCAACTATTCAAATGTAATGTCAATCGACATCTCCAGTTGCCTTGATCTATCCACTATCCTTCTCCTCATCCTTTCCTCTATCACTCCTATCTGATCTTGCTCCAAATCTTCTGTAACCCCTTGCATCCTAGTGGCTTCTCGCCTTGCTTGGGGTGAAATGCTTAAGGAAAAACTACTGTAGCCTGTAGTGTACATAAAATACAATGTGCATCCATTTATTTGTCACTTTTACAGATCACCAGAAGAGTTTATAGAATTTAAAAGATTGCATGTTTGTTTATTTTAGGCGGAGTGCATGTTCATATGTAAACAACTAAGAAGAAGCATACAAAACTTGGGTTTCTACCACAAATAATTTATTCTCTTTTTTATATATATACTGTAGTGAAACAAATTTCTCAATGTTTTTTGGGTATGTCTGTTTTCTTTTTGAACCAGAAGTGAGGTTAAGTAAGTGTAAACATCATATTAATGGTGGTGCTCAATTCAGCCATCCTCAGAGTTGCAACAACCAATGAAATGTTTGTACTTACTTCATCGTTGGAGGGAATAAGCATAGTGATAATGGTCAAGCTCAAGTCAGCCTTGCACAAAGTTGGAACAACCAAAGAAAAGTTTGTACTTGTTTTATTGTTGGAAGGTTTAAGCATGATTATGTTATGTCCATTTGTCTTTTTCTTGATCCAAAAGTAAGAGTAAGTAAGGATACGCATCATTATAATGGTCATGCTTAAGTCAGCCTTGCACAGAAGTGGAACAACCAAAGAAAAAGCTTGACTTATTTCATAGGTGGAGATTTTGGAAACCACGTCAGTTGACCAGGGAAAATAATGTGCTCCATGAGGACCAATTGTTTTCCATGTATTGCTACATCTTGGAGCAAGGAGGAGAAAAAGATTAAAGTAGGAAAATGTTTGTCTTTTTATATACTTGAAGCCAAATGGTAATTTCTTTAATAGCATCATAGGAAAATGTTTTTTTTTCTTTTATTATTATTATTATTTATTGATTTTATTTCATTTTTCTATAAGTTCATTAAATAGATATTGGTGAACTGCCTGTTCAGATGGATTTTAGGATATATTAAACTTGATAAATAATCAATTTGTTTATCTATTTGATACTTCTGATGACATAGAAATAATATTTTATATTAATTTTAATATTTATTTTTATTTTGAAGCTAAAAATTGAAGATACCAAGTTTTATTGCTGCAATATTTTTTTTACTAGAAATATTCTATTTAAAAAAAACTGTTAAATTGTGATTGGCTCTATAAATAAATTACCTTTTAAAGTACCATATTTGCCTTTGAATAACACACACCCTCACATAAGACAGACCCTATTTTACAAGGTTATTTTGTGGAAAAAATTTTAGGATATTTCATCAAATATTTATTAAAATATATTTTAAAGTCATTTTGTAGAGGGGGGTGTATAATTTTGTGCCTGCAAATAAAATATTGTAAGAGAATAAAGTATGAAATCATATATTACATTCAGTGGAGGAGAGGCATATTCAACAAAAAATCGAAAATTGTTTTTTTCACTGCAAATTATTTATTATGTCATATGCAAGTATTTTACAAAAAATTAGGGTTGATGATTATACAATATTTCAAGCTCAATTTAGGTTTATAATCCGTAACCATGCAATGAGATGAGGTAACATAAACCGTAGATTTGTCTGTGGGATATCATTACATTATTATTATGTGATTATAGTGAAATCATTAAGGTTTTTTGTCAAAAGCATTTTATTTTTGGTCATATTTAAAATATTTCTTTTTACAGGCTTTATTTTTGAAATGGAATAAGATCATTCTAAATTTCAGAATTTCGCTTGTGCTGGAAGGAAGCAATCTAAAAATAACAATGAAAAAGAGAGGTAACAAAGCATAAACAAAATAACTCCATTATTTACATTATTCGAACTATTGTCCTCATCTTTGTCGCCATATTTATTACAACATTTCGGCTGTTGTACACTACAGCCTTCTTCAGGTTTGGAATGTTGAATGTTAGATCCAGTGACAGGACCCAAAGAATGTGAGTTCAATACCCAGTTAAGGCAGTGGAGAACTTTCAGAGGAAAATTAACAGGAGATAACTGATAACTGACATCCATTAAACATGGCACATGGAACTAGAACAGTCTATCCCAGTGAGCGAAATAAAGGGTTAAGTTCGACATTCCCACTACGAAAAAAAATTGCGGATTTTTTACAAACGGCCAAAAACGTTAATAATAAATATGGCGACAAATATGAGGACAATAGTCCGAATAATGTAAATAATGTACATAATACCTCATCTCAGAAATATAGCCAAAATAACTTCAGTCTGTTCAACTTAGGAAACTTAGCATTGCAGCCAGAGTATTCTAAAATGCTGTCAATAACAAAGAAGGAAATGAAAAATACTGAACAAATCAAACATAACATCAAAATTTATATCATTTTTATTTATTTGTTATGTAACTAAATACATAATTGTCAACAATGTTTCTGTAAAACTTGATATTTCCTGTAATAAATTGTTAATAAATATTATTATTGTTATAATTGTTATTATTTTACTTAAATGTAAGGTAGTCTTATATTTGCAATTCCTTACGGCTAACTATGAAAAGAAATGTTAATCAAAATAGCCTAAAACCTTTAAGCCCATATTGCCACAAAATTATCAAATGTTGAATATGTACTTCCTCTGTCGAATGTGTCATATACTGTAACTCACCGTCAAAGGAAAGTAAATTAAATTTACCAAATCAGAAGAGAAATACTGGTATATTTATATCAATGAATAATAGTACAGAAACAAAGCAAACTGATATAAAGGAATCGGTAAAGTACAATGAATGTAAATTAATTCTTATAGATAATTACAGTACATGCAGACAAAGCAAAATATTTCACTAAATATTATGAGTAGTGTACAACAAGCAACAGGGAAATAAATGAATGCATTCTCACAGAAACTAGTATTTCAGCATACAGTACAAGGCTGCCATACATAGCAAGCAAGAAGAAACCTAAAAAAAAATGTATTATAAATGTTTATTTAATCGTCATTCACAAAATTTTCTAATTCGTCATCTTCAAAAGGTAAATAAACTAATAATTTGCCTTGTTTTCAATATTTTATTACTAATAACAATTTTTCATGACGAGTAAATTCAGGTTCATCCAACACCCTAGCTTACTGGTATAGCACTCACTCGTCTCCCATCTGTAATAAGGCTGTATTAGGGGCGGGACGGTTTTTTGGTACATGTAAAAATAGGCATCCCATTTGAAGATAAATAGGTAAAATTTACACAAATATATATGTTAAAAATTAGTTTTCTTAATAATTTTCATTTATAAAGAGTAAATTGTTATCTTCACCTAATTTTAATTTTTAGTTTGATATTCAGGAAGTATGTGAACATTAGCAAAATGTGCTTATGCCTTGTATCAAAATCTTTTTTTTTTTTTTTTATGTACAAGTCCAATACAATTAGAAAATTAAATATTGCAATCATCTTTTTACAGCACAGATAAATTGCTGAACTAATAGATGGTGTTATCACTGCCATAACAATTAGTTATTTGCCTCTTTTTTTTTATTTGTTATGCATTGAATAAATCACAAATAAGTTTTTATTCATTTTTCCATATATGGTTTCAAAGAAACCTACTCTTTTCCCCAAATGATCTTCCTTTTGTGTTTAAAAGACTCTTTAATTTTCTAAGATTAAGTTCCCTCTTAGCAAAAATCAGGCCAACTTTATCTGTTATGGCATTTTCTGAAATATCTTTTCTACAAAGAAATCTTTGCTTTTCATCTTCATTTCAGAAATATGTTTAAAATGGTTTCTGAATTTGTATGTATGATTTGGTGGTGGGGAGGGGTGCAAGTCTGGAAGTAAGCAAGCAGAAATTGAAAAATGACTTATTCTTACAAATATACAGATATATTTTCAAGTAGTTTTACTCATCTATACAAAATACAAAGTGGACTTTTAAGGATTTTCTATGAAAAACTTAACTTTGAATTACACTAATAGGATACACTTTAATCATTATTCAAAAGGCTTTAAGATTTTTTTGGAAATGTCAAAATAAAGAATCTCTGTGTATGTATTATTAGATTTGCTTTTAAAATGTTCATTCTAAAATTAAATTTATCATTTTTTCTTTTTTATTTTCTAAATAAAAATGCAGCTTAAGCCAGACATTCACATACTCTTGGGAAAGGTATGAATCCTCTTCTTCTCCCCCCAGCTTTCAGTAGCAGGACAGACCTGGTTCTATAGCCTTGGATGGCAACTGGTCTATTGCAGAAAGAACTGGCAACCTACTGCAGGAAAAAATCTGCCTCGTCAGTCATTTATCAAAAGATACATGATCGATTAAACTTGTGTCGTGCAAACTGACTAAACTTGAACAGAGTTGGTTTTTTTTTTGTTTTTTTGTTTTTTTTAGACGGGCTGGGGATGGCGGTGAGGCACAGTGGAGTAATTGATAGCAGCTCAGATTGAGGAATTGGAGAGCCGAATTTGAATTCCAGTCGAATTCACTTACATGCTAATACCCTTGGGAAAAGTATGAATCTTCTTCTCCCCTCAGCTATGGGTAAATAGCAGGACAGACCTGGTTCTATAGCCTTAGATGGCAGCTGGTCTACCGCAGAAAGAAATGGCAATCTACTGTGGGAAAAATCTTCTGCCTCATTAGTCATGTATTGAAAGATACATGATCTTCTAAGCGTGTATCACGCATGGCACATAACTGACTGAATTTCAATTAATGCATCAATATGATAGAGGAACTTTATCGTTCTACAGAATCTAAAATGTCTGGTGGGGATTCCTATATAGAAACATTACAAACTTTATCAGAAGTACAAGGAGGGAATGAAAGCCTCAGTCTAATCTCTCTCTAGACTGTTCTGCACATTTACAAACATATTTAAGCATTCCATACTACATTCCAAATGAGTCTACCAATAGAAAACAACAATCATGCTTTCCCTCTCAAGGCCAATGTACTGATAATGAAGGAGGCTATGCTAATGTCATAAGTTGGGATAAGAATGATCTTCAACAGAAAATCAACACCTTCTACCAAGTGTTCTAAGAAATATGTCTCAGGATGAACCTTGCCGAAACAGAAACTATGATCTGAAATTGGAATGAAAGTAGTGATGATACCAACCCTGATTTCATCATAAAAATTCAGTATGCAGAATTAGTAAATACTAAATACTCCAGATACATCGGCATATGGATCAGCTACAACAAATTAAGTAGGAGAAAAGGAAATTGGACATAGAATAGGTTGTGCCAAAGATAGTTTTACCCAACACCGCATATTGCTACAAAACCAAAACATCAACCTGTAAATTGAAATCATGTTCTTAAATAGAATGGTTAGATCAACACTTTCATATGGATGTCCTGCTTGACACCAAACCCATTCAAAAATATCTAAACTGTCAGTTGAATCCAACTGCTTCCCAAAATCAATGATGAAAAAAGGCTTTGAGCAAATAAAGCCTGAGGGTTTTGGCAAAGACCATCCTTTGAACAATGTGGATTGCACTTTAGATAGACAAAGAACTGTACCAAATAAGGGAAACCACATCACTTGAGGTCTGCCAACAGCAACAACAACTAAAATGGATAGCACACATAACTCGAAGAGAAAATAATGATATAATCAAGAGGTTAACATTCCACACAACTTGAAACAAAATGTTAGGAAGGAAACCCCCTATCAATACTGGAAAGCTACTGGACTTGAGAAATCTATTTTCCTGAAAAATTGTTTTAAGAGAAAGATTTTATAAATTTCAACTGACAGGAGTACTGGTTGCTGGGTTAATGAATGCCAAATGTTTCCTTGGAGGGAAATGGCTTATCATTCCCATTTATCACTTCTCCAGTCATCAGTATACAATGCAGATCAGAAATAAAAGAGAAAAATAATTCTTTATTATTCAATCTAAAAAATAATGATTTGAAAATTATGATAAAAAACAAAGGAAATTAAGATGAGAGAAATCCTAGTAAAAAAAAAAAAAATATTACAATATTTCCTAGTGTCAAAAATGTTACTTTTTCCCACAATGCAGCATCCCAAAAATTCAGCCTATAGGCTAAAGGTTACATATTTATTTTACTTCATTTTTTAATTATGCAAATGAAACTTTTAGTGCATCTTTTAGGCCAGGACATTGTAATAGTTGACAATGCTTCCTCTAAGTAATTTAAAAAGAAAATTATGCTATACCTAAAAAAAAAGATTTAAATTACTACAATAAATATTATCTATATTTAATTACTTACCTTAGTCACTATTTTTGGAGTCTTGGGCATGACAATAAACTACATTCAGTAGCAAAGCCTCTGATTGGGAGATTGGATATTTTGAAGAGCATTGAACCACTTCTTTACTACTTCTGTTCCCAGGCAAATCCTGACCCAACGTGGTAGCAATGGGCAAATAGTGAACCCCCCCAAAAAAAACAAAACACTATGAATGTATAAAAATACCAGCAATACATTTTTTTTTAAGTTACCAACAATACATATTTATAGTAAAATTACCAACAATACTATTTTAAAGCAAAATTTTTTAATTCAATTAATTTTACTCTTTTTCCCCTATTTTAAAACTTTCTTGTACACGAATTCATTGATGATTGTATTTTGGCTCATACATTTACTTGGATGTGAATTTCTTTCCTGGTGTGATTCATGAATGAGAGAGTTTTTTTCACTTCCCCAAAAAGTGAATGTTGGAACTTATACTAAATTAAAACTTTACAATAGTTTCAGACTCCCTGTCGATAATGCCACCCCCTGATTCTTATACTTTTCCTTTGTAAGCCTGCTCTTGTATTTTTTTTAAGGCAGGAGGTAGTGGGTGCCTAGGCAACCCCTGTTACCCTCTCCTCCTCCTAGTGTTTTTTTTTTAGTCCTCGAGCTCGTGAGTGCACAACACATACATATCTTGCACTGAGGCATTTGTGGCTCTCAGCTTCACTTCCTAAATGAGTTTTCTAAGTGAAACTCGTTCTTTGTAATAATTTCTCTGGATGCCAAGTCCAAAATTGATTGATTGTTTTGTTTGGTTGGTTAGTTGGTTTGTTTGTCACTTTTATTTTTTGATAGGAGTACATAGGCTCTCCTACCATCCAGTCAATACTCCTCCCCCTTCTCTTGAACAGTAGTAAAAGCTTGTCTCTTGTTTCCTGTTTAGGAAGGGGTTCCTGATTCTTTTCCTTTTCTTTGGCCTTAGTAGTATTGCTGTCATGAATCTCTTGTGTGTGGTTGGTAGCAATGTCTCTGTATACTAAAGGTACTGGGTTGGTAATTTTCTTGTTGTTGTTCTCTACCGCATCATGTCTTGAGAGGCTGCTCTGATCAACAGTTGCATAATATCAGGGTTCTTGCAGTGTCATGTCATGTATGGACAGGTGTCCTTGCATGCATCTCTGGTGGGCAACCCTGTGACTGCACTATGTTGTAGTCTGTGCCAGTTCCCTTCTGTCAACATTACATTTGATGACCGGCTGCTACTATTACACTAGGCTTTTTCTTTACCAATATAACTCATCATGACCATAAACAACCAAAAATATAGACCTAAACCAGCTCAACAACAAATCACCTTAACCTCTTAACCTTTCCTTCTCCAACATTTGTTGCATTTGTACCAACTTCCGTAGTGGGGAATCATTCCTCTTCGAAAAGTCTCCGGACATCCTAGCTCTCTGCGAAACTAACCTTAACTCTTCCATCCCTTCCTCTGATTTCTTGCTTCCTGGATACCTTCCTCTTCTTAGAAAGGACTCTAAAGTGCACATGCATTGCATGGGAGATTATGTCTGGGATCATCTCTCGCTGGCTAGAGAACTTTTTTGGGAATCTCCAGACCATTTGTATATGTGTTTCCATCTCTCTCTCCTGAATTCAGTAAGCTATCTCTTCTTTCTCTACTGTTCTCCTTCCTCTCAAGATGCCACTGCTACTCCAACGGCTTCTTCTCTTACACTTCCCAACAGTGGAACTCCCTTCCTCTTACTTGCTTCCCTTAAATGCGACATCAGTTGTCATCTTCTGATGCCTTGATCCCCATTCTTCTTTTAATCCTTTCTGCAATGCCCCCCCCTCCATACCCAGTCTTTTCTCTCCGTAACCTAGTACAGGAGCTTGGGGTGAAAATGCTTAAAAAAAATATACAATTGCATTCAAATTATATCTAGTTGAAGGCATATAATTGTGTTCAAGATATTTAGATTTTGGCATTAAATAACCCATAGAAGTATTGATGTGCCGCAAAACAAAATCAACTAAACCACTATCTTTGCTGAAACTGTGCTACAAGGGCATTTTGGGATTGTGGCTATAAAACAACTTCAAGTATATTGCTTGAACCATCATCAATTAATCTTCTATTTATAATACCAGAACATGAATTATTTTCTTTTCTAATTATTCAATTAATAATGAATTGAAAAAACTATAAGTGCAGTCTAAAGCTATGTCATTCATATCTATGCATGATCTTGACAAAAGTTTTGGAGGAAAAAACTTAGATATAAATGATTCTATTCAAACTTTTTGAAGCTTTCCATATCTAAGATATTTGAAGGACACCATGTAAAATATGCTGTGAGCTTCAATGAGAAGACAGTAATTCTACTTCCTATCAGAACTGAACCCATTAATAATTTCTATAAAATCCAGTGTTAATTATATGTTTATAAAAAAGGTTATATTTATAATAGGTTTCTACTTATTAAAACCCACAATCCCAAAAATGTCATGGTGGATGTTCATGGGTTAATATAACATATAAATATTGTCATTGGCAGTTTTTTTCATTCTTGCTTCTCATTGTTATTAAAAAGAATCGACAATTTTACCCAGTTGATCCTACCATTCAATCTGCAAATTAATTTTTTTTTTTTTTCTCTATTTTTAGTCACTTGGTGATTTTCTTTTTCTCATTTTTTCCTTCTTTTCATTTTCCTTCTTCTTTCACTTTTCTCCCCCCTTTTGTTTTCGTTCTTTTTTATTTTTTCTCTTCTTTCGTTTTCCCTCTTTCATTTCCTCTCTTCATTGTCTTTTTCTTTATCTTTCTCTCTTTTTCATTTGCTCTTTTTCCTTTCTTTTCTCCTTTCATAATTTTTAAAATCTTCAAAATTATGTCTAGTCACCAGTTTGAAATTAAATTTTAAAAACAACCTTCAACAAAGTTGCACAGTGTAGAAAACAATAATACCTCCTCCATTTTGTATTAGACAATTGACTTGGTATCTTGTTAACATTTTACTTGGTCGATAGATTGCTTGTTCTGCAAGAAATCAATTCTGCATGCTTTGGTTATTGATCTTCATTTGCTCTCTCTCACATACATACACAGTCTCCTCACAAGCATGAATAAACATATCCATCTAATTAATATCAACTGTTGTTCATGTCCTTTGTGTTTGATATTACAGGAACCTGCACCATTATATGATCTGGCAATGATGGCCTTTGACCTACAGGAGAGCGGATGGACACCTGCCGATGGCAAAAAGGAAGATCTTGCCACTTATGTTACTGACTTCCTTAAGTCTAAAAGAGAGATGTTGGAAGAATATTTTGCCTTGGAGATTGACACGGTAATCAAAATGTATTCTTTTTGCTGTTCACTTGAAAATCAATCAGCAGCTTTCTAGTGTAGGATAAATTTGTGAAAGATTTTTCTGTTGCCTTAAAGTTTTGGCCAATCCATTCTGTGAGGAAATTGTGAATGTTAGTGCTTGTGTGGCTCACATTGCTGGGAATGAGTTGCACCAATCAGTATATTAGCTACCATTTCTTTCCTGTGCTTCAGAAGAGAAATTCCTTTCTTTTTTCTTTTTCTCCTTCTCATAGATTATACACTTGAATATGGCAGGAGAATAAATGAGACAGCTGAAATATAACTGGCAACAACACAATGAACAATGAACAACTCTTGGATGGATAATTTGTTTTCTCTAAAATAACATCTCAATGCACCTCTTATTATATGCATTACACCCTGTTTTTGTGTGTCTATGTTCTTGGGACCATCTTCCTCTGACTTCCATGCTGATCTTGTGACCTCCCATTGAGCTTTGCCCGAACTCTCATTTTTCAGCTACATGACTTTAGAAGTGGCAGTAGAACTGCCTGATTAGTCAATGAAAGTCAAATGTTTTCTTTAGAGGGAAACTGCTAATATTAACATTGCCTGCTCCCTCCAGATTAATCACACCCTCAAGCTATTAATGTTGATGCCAGAGTTTGCTTATTGAGTTATCTGAGCATAGTATATGAACAGATTCTGCAAATCTTATTCATCGGTGCTTCTCCTTGTCTATTATTTTGACGACATTCCATAAAGGCTGCGGTGACCCTCATTGTGGATGTACAAAGCTTCTTCAGAATAAAAATCAACAATATTCTAAAACACAACAGATGCCTGAGTAAGACCAGTGTGTACAAGCTAAAATTCTGTGAAAAGCAAAAACAAAGTCAAGGAAATTTGATGGATGAATCTACATAGAATGATCAAAACACTTCTTGTAATAAAATTCAAACAAGAACCATTATCATGTATCTGTCTATATTTCTGAGATGAGGTATTATGTACACTATTTACATTATTTGAACTATTGTCCTCATCTTTATCGCCATATTTATTACGACGTTTCAGCCGTTGTACACTCCGGCCTTCTTCAGGTTGTTGGAATGTTGAACTGAACCAGTGGATAAAGGTGTTAGTTAGATCCAGTGACAGGACCCAAAGAGTGTGAGTTCAATACCCGGTTAAGGCAGTGGAGAACTTTCAGAGGGAAATTAACAGGAGATAACTGATAACTGACATCCATTAAACATGGCACATGGAATTAGAACAGTCTACCCCAGTGAGCGAAATAAAGGGTTCAGTTTGACAGTCCAATCCCCTGAAGAAGGCCGGAGCATACAACAGCCAAGACATAATAAATATGACGACAAATATGAGGACAATAGTCCGAATAATGTAAAGAACCATTATCATGTATCAAACTTGTGTTGGAAATAGGAAAAGTTGATATGCATATAGAAAATAAGTAGTAGTTTATTCTGGGGAATAATATAGTACATGGTTGAGAACACAGACTAATGTAATAAGCAGTTAATTGTTAACTCCTCTCCCTCAGTAAAAGAGAGTGCTGTTTAAATAGTCTTAGACCAGTCCATCTTGTGGGGGTGTTCAGCTACTCCTCAACAAAACTAAACACTAATCTCTCCATATGTTCATCCTTTCTAAGATCTATTTTTCCTTTCCTAATGAAATGTTTAAATATTTGATAAATAGTAGTAAGTATTTAGGTAAATTTCCCAACTGTGTGTTAAATTGCAAAGTAGATTATGCTCTCTAGCCTTGAGTGGCAACCAGATTAAGAAAAGAGAAACTCTTAATTCCAAACCATGGGGAAGGCAGTGAGAAACCACTTCATTGTTTCTCAAGAATCCTTCCCAATTCAGAGAAAAAAAAGATAAATCTGTGGAGATTCATGATCACCTACTGACATGGCATTATAAAAACAACAAAATCCAAAAAATTAGGTAAATAATTCCAAGAATTATAATTTTATTTTCTTACAATGCTCAAACTTAATGTTATATCGGAATAAAGTGTCGCTGCCAACACTGGAGTTTGAACACAGATCACCAGAGAGCAAAAACAGGCAATCCCATTTTGAATAAGTAGATCATGTGATGGCATGTATATATGGGAATTAGCATGGCATCTAAGTGATCACTATTTCTACACTATCCTCTATTACTATACAGTTCACTATTTTCTATACTATTCACTATACTGATCACTATACAGATTACTATTTGAATTACTATTCAAGTGAGTATTATCAAGCAAGTACTCTTAGTGCGAGTGATATTCGAAGGCGTCTGACACTAGTATTGTTCAACGGTGCTACTATAGTTGTATCTGCAATTACAAAGTCTCTACTACAACAAGCATTACAAAAGTGACAACAAGTATTTGTTGACATTATAAAAGTGGCAATGAGTGTTCGTTGACATCACAAAACTTAATTAAAAAAAAAAAATTAAATAAAACTAAGAATGTCATCTTCTGACATGTCAAACTGACGGGTGCATGCACATCATTGACTCTGACGGGTGCATGCACATCATTGACTATGACAGGTGCATGCACATCAATTTATATATACATCACACCTGGATATGTATGTTAACAGATTTGCCTTCTTTTGACCTCTTAGCAAGATTCAGTCACATTTCTAAGGACAGTATAGGAGGCAGGGTTGAAGCAGTAGTGTAAAAATAGAAAAAAAAAAACCCAGCATGCAATGATTAAAACTCTATCTAATGGTGTATTTTATTTACACTCCTACTTTAAAACCACATCCAACCTCCCACCCACAGGCACAATGTGGCAAGCCTCTCACTGCTCTACCACTATTTCCACGGAATGTGCTTGGATCATCTACATTCCCTGGTCCCTGAAGTGAAACATTCACAGCAAGAACACGCCATGACTCTTACATAGTAGCAAACCACCTATGTTCCTTCCCTATTCCATCGATGAGTAGTAGGTATCACTTGAGCAGCTTCTTCCTGCAAACCACTGCCCTGTGGAACAGACTCCCAACAGGATGTTTCCCCGATCACTACAATCTTAACCTGTTCAAAGCTCAGGTTAACTATTATCTCCCCCACCTATACACACAAATGGCCTCCTAATGTAACCCTCTATCTTGAGTGGTCCCTGGGCCTTGTAAAGGGTGAACCTTACTGCAAAAAAAGAGATAATATCTATCAGTGTATATTACACTCCTATTTTAATATCCCATCTAACAGTGTATTTTACACTCCTACTTTGCCAGAATCAATATTTGCCCAGCAAAAGAATAATAATTTTGAGTCTCTTTTATAAACAGTTTTCTGTATATCTTGCCACTACAACAGAATAAAGAGAAATCTTTTTAAGAAAATACAATTTAGCTTTTTTTCTGGCTTGATTCGTTTTCTTGCGCCCATCAACAAACTGTTGAGATTATTATCAAAGTACTGCAATTGAAATTGTTTTTTTTCTAAAATCTACAATCACCAACAGCTTCAAGTCATCATAATAAGGCAGCTGAAACTTATGAATTATAGAATCCTAATTATACTCCTGTTGACCACCTTTCTTCCTCTTCCTATAACGTGGGTTCATTTGAAAGCAACACTAACAAGCAAAGCAGGCACCTGCAGTGATAGGAAGAAAAAGTGCCAGGAGTGAAACGCCTGTAATAAAGCAGCAGGCATAGGAAGTTGGGAGGGGCATACAGAGAGGATTGGAGACTATGTTGTGAAATTTAGATTTATATTGCACTGGAATTTGATTGTTCGATTTATAATTTGTTCTAATTGCAGTAGGAGAAAAGTTAACAAAAGTCACAAGAGGATGGACGTAATCTAATGATTAACAAGCTTGTCTTGCTAGAGCAATTACGAATAAGTAGTGAGTTTGATCCTCACTAGGTGCCCTCATACTTTAGGCTGTATGCTACATCTAAACTACACTTAGTAAATTACCATAAGAAGACCAGTTCCACAAACTTTTGGGAAACGCACACACAGAGGTAGAGCAATAAATTCCTAGCCTGACATGGAGTTATTAGCTGAATTTTGATCTGAAATTTATACTGTATAATGTTTGATTAATATGAATTATATTCACCACAGAATTTAGTGCATTGACAAGGAAAAAGATTGTTGAAAAATAAATATTTATTGTATGAAATACTATTTTCATCATTAAAGCTGCAAACTTATTCATATACCTACATATAATTATTTGAAATTTACTATATAGGGAAAGAGTGCTCAATATTGAATATAGAATGTGTGCTAATATAGACTATGTGGACACTGCAGGGGAACTGTCAGTTTCATGCCTCTAGTATTCTTCAGACTGTGTGTATGTGTTTTTTTTTTTTTAATCATTTTACCCCAAGTAAGGTGATAATGCCACTAAGATGCAAAGGGTTACTGGGAGTGGAAGAGAATGAGAGGACTTGAGGAGAAAGGACAATAAAAGAACAGATTTCAGGAAGACAGAAGATAGTGGTTGACATTATATTTAAATTTTTGAAAATTGTAGGTGGCAGAGGAGGAAGTAATCAGAAGAGAGTTCCACAGGTGAGAAGTGCAAGAAAAGAAACTATTAGAATAGAACTTATTGTTACATATAGATAATGTAACAGTAAAATGATGAGACCTAGTTACCAATTTAGTAGTACATTTAAATTCATACAGTCGATGTACCAATGTACAAAAACCCCTGAAATATCCAATGAGACAATACTTTCACACAATGAAGCAGCCTACAGTCATAGCAAAGTCGTATATCTTGGATATTTTCAGGTGATATTCCCACTCTAACTTAAGTGAATTTCAGTATCAGGTTTTTGTGTTTTTTTTTTTTTTTTTTTTTTTATATAGTAAGGTTTGCCCTCTACATGGCCCAGGGGACAATCAAAGTAGAAGGTTACATTAAGATATAGTTTATATGGATAAGAGCGGGAGATAACAGTTAAATCTAAATTTGAACAGGTTAAGATTGTAGTGATCAGGGAAACATCTGCTTGTGAGTCTGTTTCACAGGGCAGTAGCTTATGGGAAAAAGCTGTTTGAGTGGAAAATACTTCTCACCGATGGAATACAGAAGGAATGTAGGTCATTTGCTACTATATAAGTGGCATGGTGGGTCCTAGCCATGAAGGTTAATGAGAGACTCGCCACATCACATCTGTGAGAAGTTGGAGGGTGGAAAATAATGAATTCTATCAAAACTGGAAAGTGAGGGCTGAACAGCTCCTGCCCAAATTATAGCAACAGTACACCATTTTCAGCCTGATCTGGCTCTTTTAAAGGTAGTAGATAGCATACGTCAGGGGTGTGTTTGTGTGTGTAAGTAGCAGGAATTCAGACCTATTTTTTTAAATTTGACCAACAATACCTACATATATCAATTATCCCAAATTTTAAACCAACTGATCCTACCATGGTAGTTTGTTGCTTAAATTTAATAAAATTTGTTTGAGGTTTTAATTGTGTATATATATATATATATATATATATATATAAAAAGCCAACTGATAAAATAGGTGAAAATTACAAATATTTTTTCTGGCTGACAGAACTTCTGTCAAAAAGTGCTCAATAGATAACTAGACCTATAATATTCAATAAATTAAGAAAATGACTTATCTGGTTAGCTGACTCAAGGTTTTCATGTCAAAATCCTCATTAAGGCCAGATGACTATAAATATGAGATCTGATAAGTTCAACACAAAACTCGTGAATTGGCTTACTAGATAAGTCAGTTGAACTTTTCTTACTTTATCATATAATTAGGCAGCAATTATTAGTATTCATTTAAACAAATTTGATTAAAAAGGATAGACATTGTATGCCTGTTCAGTATATATATCATTATTTGCAGTTTAGAAAAGGTCTTAGATAAATTAAATAGGCATAGAATATCTATCCTTTATATATATATATATATATATAATAAAAAATGTTAATGGTCAAAGTCAAAAAAAAAAAAACTTCCAACAATTATAGTAATATCTGCAACCTTTGTCAACAAGAAAAGTTAGCAATAATAACATTCCAGGCCCAAAAAACCTTTTTGAATAAGAGATCGGAAATTATGACTCATTGCATACACACTAAAAAGCTCCTTTTGAGTTCATATGAACCTGGATGAAATGAAAGTATGTACATTTCATTTAACCCTCTACCGATACATTTCCAATACCCTTACTTTTCTCTTCCTCCTCCTCTATCGCACTTCACATCATACATTTATCTATTTATTTTTAGATAATAAAGCATTCATTAATTTTTCAAAGAAATAAAGTGTTAGGAAATCAATTGACTGAAATCACCTGAATATACCAAGGAAGTGACATTATATATATATATATATATATATATATATATATATATACACACACATGTGCCAAAAGTCATATGATGACAGTATATAAATGTATAATGGTTTGTGGCAACTTTATACTTCAGTCATGGAAATTTTTGAACCTATATCAGTTGTGCTCAGGCTTCTGGTGTCTCAGCATGAACACTAAGCTGTTCATGGCAAGGCGATGTGAATTATCAGGTTCAAGCAAGGTGTGATAATGTGTGTCAGATGAGTGAGACAATCCATTTTGGAAATTGAAAACATTTGACAGCTCTTAATTGACAGTCAAGTGTGTACCAAAATACCTGATTGAATTCATTACCACCCATGGTGGACAGCATAGTGGTCAACTATGTCCAGTGTCATGGATATAGTGTCTCATCTGGGTTCATAAAATCAATAATTAGACCCTGGAGGACTGGCAATATAAAACACAGTCCAATGAGTCTGAGCTCCAATTGTTTTGGGTTGATGATAGAATTTTGGTGTGGCACAAACTCCATGAGTCTATGGACCCCAGTTGTCTACAGTATTGCATGTGTACTAGAGATTGCCAGAATAAAAGCATTACTGATTACTGTGGGTTGGTTATAATTGTTTGCAGTAACAGACAAGTAAAACTGGCTAAAACTGTATCCACACTCAATGCAAGAAATACCAAACATATATTCAATAGATCAGTTCAGCATTCTTTAATTTCCATAGAATATAGAAGCAGAATATCCAGCAGGGTGTTCCAATTAACACCATGATTTTGGACACAGTGCTTCACCTGGACTTAAGACATCACTACTTGGACTCTGAGACACTGGCAACATTTAGTGTAGCCTGATGAGTCAGTGGTTTCCTGTTGATTTCGGAATTTATGAAATACTACATTTCCTGATTTAATTTTTTCTTCTTTTTTCCTTAAAAAAATAAGTCATGAATTAATAAAAAGAAAAAAAAAATATTTTTGTTTTATATTGCTTGCAATCATTCATTTTCATTTGATCTTTTAGGATGGCAATTTATGCACCATTCCCATGCTTTTAGAAAACTATGTCCCACCATTGGAAGGATTACCAATGTATATTCTACGTTTGTCTACTGAGGTAAGACTTTCATATTCAACTTCTTGTTTAATATTTCTTTGTGACTGTAAAATTTATAAAAATAAGAAAAATCTTTATTAAATTCCAAAATATTTCAAATTTGGTCTGATATTCAAGATTACAGATGTTTTCTCCTCTAAAAACGATTTGCTTTTACTGGACATCTTGAAAAAAAGTGGCAATGTTTAACCTTCATGCTTGCAAAAAATCAGTTTATCAAAGAGAAAATTTTTCTTTTGACACTACTATTACTTTAAACTACTGAGACTCTCTTAGCAATATTTATTTACGAGACTATAAAGATATGTGAATCATTATTTACTATTTTATAAAGATTTATTATTATTCATTTTATGAAGAAATAAATTTGAAAAGAAATCTTTTTATTCAAAAATTTATAAAATCTACAAGATTTTCAAGGAATTATGTTCTTGGGAATGGTTGGCAAAAGATCAATGAATTGCAAATTGATTCAAACTTTATAAAATGGTCACTAATAAAGATTATAATGGGTTCTCATATTTTTATGATTTAGTAAATTTATGAAGGAAAAATTTATTTCTTTATAAACTGGCGAATGATAAACATTGTATTGGTATGCATTTTTAGAATTTTGTAAATATAAAATTATTCTTGTAAATAATCTAATAAATAAATCATGTTTAATACTTTTGGCATGAGTTCTCAAAGAACAAAGAAAATGTATAAATTCACTTTAATATGTTTGGGTTTTGTTAAAATTCTAATCTTTGCTTTTTGAAACATTGCCGTGGGAGTGAAGGTAGTACAAAATAATGTTACACACCGTTTTTTGCTTCTTTTGTGGGGCATCAAGGTTAAACTTTAACAAAAAGAAAAGATTTGCAAAGGATTGTGGGAAATTAGCTGACTTATGTTAACTTTCCATTAAGTCAATGATTATCTTTTTTGTATCAGGAGCATAGACAATCTGATAGAACACTGGTTGAAGGAATATATGAAATTATGACTTTAATTTTCCAAGATTTCATATTGTAGTTTTATAGAATGTTTTTAAACATATATGTCTACAATAGGGTTCAGTAAACTACAGCTCACATGTTAAATGTGTAATGTGTTATAATATTTAATGTCCTGCAGACCATATGAAATATGGCATAACTATGAAATAATCATTTTTTTAGATTATTTTTTTTAAAATAAAATGTCTCTTGTATTATTGAGGACTTGCTATCAGATTTACAATGAGAATAAAGCCAAAACATATTTTAGGTTTGTAAGAATTTTGTAAGTTAATTTGAATTAACAATTTTTTTTTTTTTTTAGAATAAAAATGATTTTTCTAGATAGAAGTCCTGCTATTTAGCCCATAGCTGGGAAGAAGAAATAGATTCATACCTTTCCCAATGGTATTTGTGTGTAAGTGAATGTAACAAATTTGAACTCAGCTCTCCGATTTCTCATTCTAAGCTGCTATTACACCACCTGCACATTTCAGTCCTTTCTATACTTGAACATATACAGATGAATGATACAGTGAATACTGGACAATCTCATCACAGATGAAGAAGAAACTTGAAGCAACATAAATGTGGTTCTACAGAAGGATGCTGAGGATACCATGGACCAAACGTAATGAGGAAGTTTTAGAGAAAATCGAAATAAAATGGATGATTTAAACTTAACATCAGAAAGAGAGTGTTGACATTTCTAGAGCACATAATGAGGAAGGAGGACTTGGAAAATTTGATACCCACAGGACAGCTTGAAGGCAAAAAGAACAAAGGAGAGCAACACATGATCTACATAATGAGCTTCAGGGTGACAGAAGATGATTTAGGAGAGATAACAAAAAGACAATTTATTAAGAGCTACAAAGTACTAGAAATTGTGGAGAGCCACAATCTCTAATGTTCTGAAGGGACACGGCATAGAAGAAGAAGGCCAAAAGTTTTGATATTCACATGAGTCTTAGAGTATCTGTCTATATTCCTGAGATGAGATATTATGTACATTATTTACATTATTCGGACTATTGTCCTCATCGCCATATTTATTACAATGTTTTGGCCATTATACACTCCGGCCTTCTTCAGGTGGTTGGAATGTCGAACTGAACCCTTTATTTTGCTCACTGGGGTAGACTGTTCTAGTTCCACGTACCATGTTTAATGGATGTCAGTTATCAGTTATCTCCTGTTAATTTCCCTCTGAAAGTTCTCCACTGCCTTAGCCAGGTATTGAACTCACACTCTTTGGGTCCTGTCACTGGATCTAACTAACGCCTTTATCCACTGTGCCATGTGTCCTTGAGGACATCTGTGTATATATTATAAACCTAATGTCTTCAGCAATCATTTTTTACCAGTGCTCATATTGCAATTTTTGTTGTTATCATTGCATGTTTTTACCAGAGTTATCTCCATATTTCTTGGGGACTTGAGTTGTATAAGCAGAATAAACTTCTTTTCTACTGAAACTTGGGAATGAAATTGGATCTTGAATTTTGTTCTTTCTAATGCTCATCTCATGTTGGATTTCTTACAATGAATTATTGACAGCGTTCATATTTGATACACTGCATGTTGCATTTGTTCATTTTCAATTTATTACTGATATTTTTCTCTGATGAATGCCAAAGAAGCTTTATGGGGGATAAAAAAAAATGAATGAAAAATATGTAATTATTAATTAAAGCTGTCTTAAAATTAAAGATTATTTTTTTTTAATAATTTCACCCCCAAGCAAAGCAATAAAGCCCCTAAGACGCAAGGGGTAACTAAAAGTGAAAGTATATGAAAAATAGAAAAATGAGAGAGCAATAAAAGAACAAGAATTAAAAAGACAAAAGATTGATATTGCATTTAAATTTTGAAGATCAAAATTTGAGTGAAAAGCAAGACACTGGTAGAGGGTTCAACAAGCAAGAAGTGCGAGAGAAGAAACTGTTAACATAGAACTTATGGTTACACTAGCCAACTCAACTGTAAAATAATGAGACCTAGCTGCCAATCTAGTATTGCATTTAATTTCTTAAAGTCAAAGTACCAATGAGAAAGGCTCATCATGAAAATATTTACAGAAAAAGCACAGGGAGGCTACATTATAGCTGTGGGAAAGTTATTGAAGACAATATACCAGGTCAGAAACAATAACATTGCAGATTCTTCTTTGAATTTTATGAAGAATCTCTAAATACATAACAAAAGCACCACACCATATGCAGCAGCAATATTCAATGATAGACCTATAAATGTGTAAGATAGATTCACTTGTCTAGCACAACACAGTGAGCCAATTTTCCTATTAGCAGATCTACTGGTAGATCTTCAGGTGATTCTTCATTTTGACTTAGTTCTATCTTAGAGAAAAAAAATTCCCATTCTAATTAATTCTTTCTCTTCAACACTGTCTCTAATAGAATTTTATTAGACTTTGTTTATTCATAATAAATAATATTAATAACTGAACATAGAAACAGTCACTTGGTAAAAACACCTTTGGGAAATGTCTTCAAATTCAGTGGCAGTTAAACAGACCAGAATAAGACCTGACAATCCCTAATAGAATGCCCCTCTTTTCTTTCTGTTTTTTCCCCAAGTGGTTCTCTTTAGTATGATCTTCAGTCTTCCTTAAGTAAATATTTGGGAAACATGAATCTTTTCTCTGTCTAGCCCATGATCTTCCTTATGTGAGTTCATTGATTGAATTCATAAACTATATTAATTTAAGATTGTTGTAATGAAAAATAAGAAAAATAAAACTGGTAATAAAATAATAATTAGGAAAATGCTTCATCTAGAAAGGAGCCATATTAAGATGGAATAATAAAGAAAATAATAGTGAAAATAGTAATGGTGAAATTAGCCGTTTCCATCCAAGAAAAATTTGGCATTCCTTGACAATCCAGTTTTAAAATTGAAAGGTTGAAATTTAGAAAATATTTCCCTTAAAACAGTTTTTCAGGAAAATAACCTTCTCAAGTTCACTGTTATCACTTTTTCTAGTATTAATTGGAGTGTCTTTCCTAACCTCTTTGTTTGAGTTAGTTTGGAAAGACAATATCTTGATTTTATTATTATTTTCAAGTTACATATACTACCCATTTCTGTTGTGCTGCTGCTGGAAGTCTTCAGGTGATGTTGTTTTTGTTATTTAGAAAAGTTCTTTGTGATTCTTTAGCACCAGTCTATAAGATCTGATGAAGAATTGTCTTCTTTAACACCTAAATAACTTTATTCACTTTAAACAATTTTTAATCATTGATCTAAGAAAAGTGTTTGTGTGTATATATATATATATATATATATATATATATATATATATATATATATATATTAAGAAAGAGACAACCTTAAGGTTCCATGACTATAATTTATTTTCCCAGAAAATATATTTTTCCTGGTTCATCAGGTCACATCTCTAGTTACAAAGGAATTTAGTTTCTTTTATTTTTAATACAAGTTTTTGAAGGATAGTTTTAGATTGATATGAGGGGTGAGAGGGGAAGGACCATAGAATGATCTAAATTAGAAATGGAAGGTATGGATAGGATTGTGTTTAAACCATCTTTAATAAGTTACATAGGTTCAAGTGTACTCAATCAAAAGGCCAGACAATTTGACCTCTTAAATATGTTTTTAGGCAGGAAAAGGAAGTTCTGTTGTTACACCTAGTTCTGGATTACATCCTCTTTGGAATTATCACATGGATTACCAAACCCTTCATTACCCTTATATATATATATATATATATATATATATATATATATATATATATATATATATATATATATGTCATTTGAGACAGTACTGTTTCACTGTATCACAGCTCCTTAGTGCGACTAGACCACCAAATGCCCCAAACCCAGATCGAAACCCAACCAATTTGATGTCAGAGCTTATACCACTGAGCCACCTTCACTCAATGAGTCAGCCAAATCTAGTGTATTGTTTTTACAAACATAAACAAACACCAAACATAGTGCTCCATTCATTTTACTGAAGAGCTTCGCATTTACACAAGTGACCATTGTTTTTAAAATTAGCTTGTCATTCAACAGTGCTCAATTGAAAATATATTTTCAAGAGCTAAATTATATATATAGCTGATCATTTATACATTCTGATCTAGATGGGTGCCATGCATGGCATCCATATGAGCATCTAAGTCTGATGAGACGATATAAGAAAATGACTCAAGTTCTCCAGTTAGTATTTTGGTTTTGTAATATCTTACAGTGTTAGTCAAAACTATCCCTTGTACAGCCTGTTTTATGTTCAAATACTTCATCTAAAAAGGCAACAATTATAAAATGGAGTGAAACAAGTAATAAAATAACAGTAAAAATACTGCCTATAAAAATAACAATAAAGATTTTTATAATTTCCAGTTGTGAATGATTTTCTGTTTTCTTTCAATCTTTTCTTTTTTTTTTTCATCACTTCATTTTTTAGGTGAATTGGGAAGAAGAAAAAGAATGTTTTATGTCATTTTGCAAAGAAACAAGTGAATTTTATGCATTCAGAAATAATGAACTGCAAAATGCGGTAGGTATTTATTACAAAATGAAACCTCAAATCATTTCTTCATCACAATGTTTCAACTCATGCACATCTGGCTATCTTCAGTAAATTTTGGTAAAATCAGTTTATTTCATTCACTGCATGCATTATGTTCTCATTCTTTGCATTTTTTGTCATATCTTGTGTTCTTCTGAGAAAAGTTATTGCATAAGTAAAGGCCCAGATGAACTGCAAGATTTAGAAAGTTTGATGACAACTGTTTAAAAAAATATCTGAATCATTTTTTTGTTACATTAGAATATTTGTTGGCATATAAAAAACTTATTTTCTTTTTAGAATAAAAAAGACAAAAATAGTATTCAAATTTGTATCCTTAAAGAGGTTACAAACAGACAAAGATGGTACTCGAGTGAAGGAACAGTAACACATGCATAGATGAAAGAAGAAAGGTTTATTGTAAAAGAAATACACTATGGAAAAGACAAGGAATCAGGTGGCTGGCTAGTAATTCCCAAAGCAAGCCCCCAGCTATATCCTGTGCTCACTCAGTCCACATAGGCAATAGGGAGTGTGGGACATTCCATTACAACAGAAATTTTGATCAAATATATTAGATCATTGCAAAAGTTTGTGCCCAATTAGAAAATTAAAAACAAAATTTTACATACTCACAAAAAAACATTAGTCAAGTACATAGTCATCCATTAGTTTTAACAATTGTCTCCCCTTGTTTTGCATGCTAGTTGATGCATTTTCATAGAAACTTTGTGTTTTTTTTTTTTTGTTTTATTTGCTGGGCGATGGTTGTGAGGTAATTTTCAACTGACAGTACAGAGTAAAATTTTTTTATCATTTAAATTGTTCTGTAGAGACTAGAACAAATAAAAATCCCAAGGAGCCAAGTCAGGAGAATATAGAGGATGCTGCTGGAGGTGTGGTCCCATTTCAACTCTTTAAGTTTCTGCAAGGTATATTTTGCAACATGCAGTCTTGGGTTGTCATAGTGGAAAATTACACCTTTTTGATTTGCCAAAATCAGACATTTTTCTAGAACCCAAGTCTCTTCAGATGGCAAAAGATATTGATTTTCAAACTCTTAGCAATCTCTTCAATCAAAATCTTTGGTTTATTTTCCATGATGGCAAGCAGAGTGTCTTCATCAATGACAGAAGATCGCCCAGAGCATGGTTCATCATTTAGGTTAAAACTGCCAAACCACTTTTGGATCATCCAAAGAGCTGGAGTGCAATCTAAATAAACCTTCTGAAATAAACCTTTTGTCACAGTTGCAATTTTTACTCCTTCCCAAAATTCATAGAGCATAATATGGTGAAAGTACAACATTTCATCCTCCACCTTTAAGGATTTTCATTTGTAGACAAAACATTAACATTCAGCAAAGTTTAACTTGCAAGTGAATGATACAAGGTTCCAATCTAGAACATACCAGAAATCAGCCCCCAAATCAACATTGGTGTCATCTTGCAGTCATTTTATGTTAATGAAAGTCAGGCAGAAACTTTTGAAATGATCTATAAAATATGTTTTATATATTTTTACTAAATGTTTACTTTTTTTTATAGTTATATATATTTTAATTATTTCAAACTACTGTTTTCATATTAATTTTTTTAGACATTATTATAGAGAAAATGTTTCAGCCATGTACACTCTGATCATCATCAGATGTCCATTGTTTGGATATCTGTTGGTTGTTGTGCTATTTTGTACCTCTAATATAAGTTCTTTTTCATTCCTACTGGACCAGTGTATATTGTTTCACTACTTGATCCAACTTGCTATATATTTGTTTTTTCTTTTTGTAGGAACCTGTTCTTGCCTCTCCTAGCCAAACTGAAGAACCTGATCAAAACATGGACGACAACTGGAAATGGACGACAGAACATGTCCTCTTTCCTGCATACCGTGATACATTAATGCCACCAAAACATTTTGCTGAAAATGCAAGTGTCCTTCAAATTGCTAATCTGCATGATCTTTACAAAGTTTTTGAAAGATGTTAATGCATTTGTATTTATACTTTTATAAATAAACTCAATGAATCTAGTTTCTTATGAAACATTTTGTAATTGACCATACTTAATTTTTGCTTAATGCCTTGGGTGCATGGCTTAAGGGTTAGAGCACAAGCATTCAGATTGTGAGATCTGAGTTTCAAATCTCAGCATGTTCAGTTAGTCAAGAAATTGACTTCTTGTTAATATTGTCCAGAGGAGATAACATTGTCAAGCATGTGGCATTATTGGGAAGTGCCTGAAAACTAAATCATTGGTTGACATTGTTAATTCAGATGACCTTTCTGAAAGGTGGAGAATTTTTAGTAGAAATAACAAACACTGTTGATAGCTTTATCAACAATTGATGTTGAGATGTAAAAATAAGAAAATTGCAACACTCACACTTATGCAGTTCAATTTCACCAAATTCTTTTCTTCGCTTGAGGCATTGAGAGATATCTAATTCTTATAGTTTGAGTACATTGCCAACTCAGCTTCTGCTACAATTTTTAATGAAATTGGATAGCAATATAGTCTCAGAAACTGCCTCATGCGAACTTGCTAAAGTGGCGTGTGTGTTTTATAAGGATAATGGTCCAAAAGGGGACTTTGATTAATTAGACATCTACTCAAAGACCCTCTTTGTTAAACAAACTAGATAGCTTGGTAGATTTCTGTAGTGGAGCCATTATAGTTTGGCACCTGCACCATCACAAGAGCTGCCACAATGAGACCGAAATCAGTGACAGAATACCTTAGGGGATCCAACTCCAAATTTTTAGATGCATAGTATGGAGAACAAGATGTATGGAGGAGAAACTACATACAGTTTTGAATTCAGAGTTACTCTCCTAGACCAATTACCACTCAAGGCTATAGAACCTAATCTGTCCTGCTATTTATCCATAGCTAGGGGGAGAAGAAGATTCATACTTTTCCCAAGGGCATTAGCACATAAATGAAATGTAATGGGTCCGACTATAATTTGAACTCGGCTCTCCAATTCCTCAATCCAAGCCGCTATCCATTACTCCACCATGCCTCCCTTAATTCCTATACTCTCATCATAATATAATTTTCTCAGTTTCAGTTCATGAATATTACAATTAGTGTGTATCTGAAGAAGGCCATAAAACAGATCAACCAAAACATTGGAGTAACAGAAAAATCTACAAGAAGGAATCAATAATTGACTTGTTTTAAAATTACAGATTTTTGTATTTAAGTGCAACAAAGAGAATTTATAATTTATTAAATTATTTTAATATCAGATCAATCCAAAATTGAATCACTTTTCAGTTGTCTAAATGAAATTGTATCATCCAAGAGTAACATCTCTAAAGAATGAAATAATATGAGATTAAGTAAATAGATGATTCCAAGACAAATCCTACCAATTATTCCTTCCATTCAAAAAAGGGCATTGCTATCCTGCAATAAAATCTCTGAGATTTTATTGCAGATTTTTATTGCCACTTGTAATGATCCTTTAACTGACCATCATGGCTCTTTTGGCCATTACTGATTCCACTAAACATTCTTTGGGACTCTGAAAACTATTTCTGAAATGTCTGAAATGTTTCAAGCTGATAGCATGTGTTTATGAATTTGTGGATTCTTTTCTCACATCCACATCCTTTGTACTTTCTCTGATAGCATGTGATTCATCTATTCACTATTTGCAAATATTCCATAATCCATCTCACATCCGTGGTGGTTACCACTTGTCCTTTGTATTTATCTCTTTCTAGAAGTCATGCATTCATCTATAGAGGTTCAGATGTCCTGCCCAAACTACATAAAAAAGGTTGGACTTTGATTAAGTCCAAAAGAAGGCATAAGAAAGCAAACAAAAAAAAAGACCGATAATATATATATATATACAAAATATATTAATAACAAGTTACAATACATGGAAACAGTACAAATATATATATATATATATATATTCTGTATGTGCGTGCGTGTGTGTGTGTGTGCTTAGCATGTTTCACACTATATGAGGAATGATGAATGATATTGAAATACTGAAGGAAAATTTGACCAAGGGAATCCCGGAAAAAAAATTCTGATATTTTGTAATTTGATTTCAATTTGACCAAGAAAATGTGTCATGCCAAGATCATTTTTCAAGACCAAGATCTTTTTCAAGACCATACACACATATGAATAAAGACGAAAGGAAAACTCATCTTAGTCAACATGTTTCAACCTCTGATAGACTTTATCAAGGCAAATTTAAGGATTTTATTTTGTTTGCAACAAGTATTTCTAAGCAAAATTAAAAATGTTGGTTTTTCAAAATTTTTAAATTTAAGAACATTCATAAATAATTATCAGGCTATGTAAATTATGGAGGATGTAATTTAATGTCTAATAATCAAAAGTGAGTAATTTTTTATATATATATATATAGAGAGAGAGAGAGTGAGAGAGAGAGAGAGACTATATATACATGAAGGGTGTGATGAGTAAATTGTCATTTTATATTTTTTAATTTTGTTCATGCATGTTGTTTTTTTTTTTTTAATTTTATCAACAACAAAGTATAGTAGGTTCAGTTGGGCACCATCTGTGAGAAAAAGAGCACCATGACTTAATTTACTCCACCAGAAATTTGGAGATGGCATGCTGTACTGCTTGCCATTCATGCTGAAAGCTCCAATACAAACATTTCAGAGTGTTTGGGTGTCAATCTGAGGACAGCGCAGAGAATATTTTTAATTGCAAGGCAATAAAGCCACTAAGACACAAAGGGTTCCTAGGTGTGGAAGAATTAGAAATAGAAACATTACTCATTTTGTTCTTGCTCATTAGTAATCAGGAGGAAAGAAAATAGTGATTGACATTGCATTTCAATTTTTAAAGATTAAACTTGGCTGGAAAGCATGAAGCCAGAGAGGAGTTCCACAAGCAAGAAGTGCAAGAAAAAAGAAACTGAAAAAAAATAGAATTTACAGTTACATCTAGCCAGCCCAACTGTAAATTGATGAGAATTATATGTATTGCATATAAAGTGCTGGTGTTAATAAAACAGTGCTCAATGTAATAGAGCTATTAAATATATATTAATAACTATACTTATTATCTCTCACCATTTGCACATCTTGGTGTTTCATGCACAGTGCAATCTTCAGGTGCTGTGTATAGACTATTACATAAGTTGAATTTAAAAATATGGTTTTTTTTACTGCAATGCTGGTGCAGTTAAGTATTATATATATTGGGATCATAGTTTTTAAAAAAAAAAATTTTTAAAAACTTATATTTCTCAAAACATTATATTTGGCAATTAAAATAACCAGGATTAGTATATGAATAGAAAAAAATTTGTATTTATTTATAATTATTACTTTTATTTTAATATTTTTAATTTTAGAGTAGTGGACCATATTTCCTTAAAAGAAGCTTACTTAATCTTATTTAAAAAAAATAGTAATATTAAAAATAAACAGTAATTATAAACAATAAATTATAAGACACTAAAAACTAAACCGTGATTAGTATTAAAAATTAATCTGGATCTAATTGTTTAAGTATTTATTTTTATACCTACATATAACAATCAGTTTATTTCTCTTGTTTAATAATCCGTAGATATTTTAAGATAATCATTTTTTCTACCAAGCATAGGTTACATTTATTTCCTTTTCCGTTATATGATTTTGCCCTTGCGATACTACTACAGTTAATTGTGTGGGAAGTTACTGGTTTCTTTTAATTACCAGAAATAATTAGAGCAGTGTTGTTTCTGTATTTAATATTAGCCAAAGTAATTCAGTGATGTTAGAAGTGAAACTTCCAAGTATTTTTGGTAGAACCAAAATAAAATCTAACATCACTACCAGAACATATGTTCACTCAAAATATACAATATTATTAGTCATACATTGGCTGTTTAATGAACAGATTGTACTCTTCTGGTAGTTGCATTTATTTTTAGAAAAATTTACATTGTCTTTCTTGGAAAGATGTTTATTTGATATGATGTTATACTGGGATATATATATATATAAACACACACACATTTTGTGTATTTAGGCAGCAATCCTTTTTCATGCAAATTTCATTGACTATGACAGACAAGGCGCTTCAATTAAGTCTTTTATATGATTTCTCATGTGATCTTATAATTTTCTTTTTCTCTAGATAAATTATATAAAAACTGTCCAATTACTGTTTTTTCCAAGCACTTTCAGATATACGTTTAGCCATTTTCAAGGTTGAAATATATTAACAGTTAATAAGAAATGGATTGTTGTATGTATCTATTTTTATGTTTCTTTTTCAAAACACCGTCAAGATATTGTGTCCATGTTCATAGTTGATATTATTGAGTGTTGTTTTTTGTCTTTGCTTTTATTAATAAGGCTTCTATTATTTTTAGCCTTTTTTAAAATATAAAAACAACAATTGGAGAATTTTTATATAATTTATCATCTAAAAAGAAAAAAATTATAAGATCAAATGAGAAATTGTATAAAAAACATAATCAAAGCACCTTGTCTGTCATATTCAATGAAACTTGCATATATATATATATATATATATATATATATATATATATATATATATATATATATATATACATATATATATATATATATATGTATGTATATATATATATATATATACATACATATATATATATATATATATATATATATGTATGTATATATATAAAATAGCTAATCCCTGTTGCAGATGTATGCTCAGGCACAACTGTGTTTGTTCAACACCCACAGATCCTACCTGTTACTTATACTGCAACTCTGCTGAGCAGACCTTAGAATTTCTGAAAGAGAGCAGATCACCTGGTGAACTCAACAGTTTGAACAAGACCAGTACACTCAAATTCTCATGATATCTTATAACTTCATGATAGCATAGCCATCAATAAACAATTCCATCTAAGAAAATTTCACTTAAAAGGCTTGGGTCAACATGTGGTATGGCTTTCAGCCACTTTCCAAGGGTGGTGCTTGCTAGGATTGCCTCCCCAGACTGATGCTATATATATATATATATATATATATATATATATATATATATGTGTGTGTGTGTGTGTGTGTCTAGAACATCGGAAGTCAAAATGGCTAGAACTGAAAGAAAAGGGAGAAAACGTTAAGGAATGAGCATAAAGTGAAAAAAACGGCGAAAAGTATAAATAAATTACAACATTCTACACATACGCATATATGGGCACGTCGAGCAAACGTGCACGCACACATACACTGAAAAAAAAAAAAAATTTGACCCATGAAGAGTGCATATAAAAAAGAAAAATCAAGAAGTATAAGCAGTCAGTTGCTGATACCTCTGATGAGCAGACGGAGTTATTCCCGGAGTGTCCGTCTACAAAATTCTGGAGCCGAGAGTTAAGTGACAAACATTTTACTTTTTATATGTATAAAAATATATATATATATATATATATATATATATATATATATATATATATATATTTATATATATATATGTGTGTGTGTGTGCATATATATATATATATATGTGTGTGTGCGTGTGCATATATATGTATGTGTGTGTGTATATATATATATATTACAGACACTTGGACTTGGGCCATGGTTTGGTCTCTTATGGTCCAAACCGTGGCACAAATCCAAGTGTACTTGAAGGCATATAATGATTTACATTTCATTTTACAGTATTTATGGAATTAGGCCATGTAGGTAATCTACATCGTCTCGATAAGCATTAGTCGTAACAAATACCTTTTCACATACACACGGTGGGGTGCTGTAAAAGTTCTCACCCATTCCTAAATGAATACTTTAATGTCCAAATATCAGAATACTGATTTTCACTCAGAAAACCCGGAATATAGACATTTTAAAAACTAGAAGAATGAACGAACAAATCAATTGTAAGAAGAAAGAATATATAGTCATTAGCAAAAGGGATAGCCCAAAATGGTAGCTACAAATTGTAGGTTCTCTTTCCTTCCTTAAGTGCCACGCACAGTGAAAGTTTGGATGATCTGGTCTTTTCAATTCTCCTTCGTTCCTTAGGAGCCAGGTGTGATGTACACTTGGACGACTATGTCTCATGTCGACTCCCCTCTTTTCCTTACAGACGTTTGGGCGATTTTGGTCTCTTCGATTCTCCTCGATCCTTGGGCGTCACACATGATGAACGCTTAGGCGATCATGTCTCTTGTTGACTCTCCTCCATTCCTTAGGACGTTTTGGTCTCTTCAATTTTCATTCCTTCCTTGGGTGCACGCTTTGGGCTATCATGTCTATTTCCGGTTCATGATTGGCTTGGCAGAACTCTCACAGTAGGCTGCCGGTACTTTCATTGCGAACCACGTTAATCGGATCCAGTCTGTCCTTCTATTTAACCCATAGCTGTGATTGGGAGGCGAAATATATTCATATATTTCCTAATGTTATGTGCGCATAAGTGAATGTTACCAACACGGCTGGAATTCGAACTTGACTTTCCAGTTTCTTCCTATTAGAAGCACCATGTACTTCCATTCCATTATAATTGTAAAAGTTGCTAAACTAAAATTGGTTAACTTTTTTTTCGTGAAATGCATGTATGTGTTTACATTATAAGATTCGTTGTTGTTTTGAATTTGCAGTGTAGTGATACAGATAGCGATTATCTCTCTTTCGTGGAGATAAGTTACATGACGGCCGCGTAGTGACGTCACATCATACAGTGACGAAAGTGGCCAGTCATTCAGTTTGTTTACAGCAGCCCTGGTCTAGGCTAAATCTCCTCCAGCAAATGCTACCGTTTACAAGTCCATGGTGCCGTTTCCCTTTGGGAATATATATTTCCCAGATATAGAAATCAACTCCAGCTTGTAGTCCTGTTTGGGAAAAACCAATAAACGCTGTTTCCCGTTCGTGGAATATGTCCTCGACTGGGACATAGTAGCTGCATCCAGCACGTTTGAATCTGGAGTCCTAAACATGGCTTCTCTCAAAAAAAAACAAAATAATCTTCATCTTATATGTAACATTCTTCCTTTTTGTTTCTCCTTACTGCTTTCCCGTGATATATTATTCTCTGCGTGGGCCACGTGTATATATGCATATATAGTTTTGTGTATATCTTAGTAGTATAAAAGTTTCTCTGAGAACAAAGCAAGTTTGTCATTTCTTTTATCTATTCTGTTCCGTCTGTGAAATATTGTGTTATTATATCATGGATATAATGATGCCCATAATGGGGGAATTGCAAATGGGAGAATAAACATTACTTCCATAGCTCATTCCTTCGTCTTACCTAATTCCAGGAAAGACGTGCCTTCATATAAGTTTAGAAGGGATCGCTAGAGATGTGGCCTGGGCGTCAAGTGGATGAGAGAAAAAACTTTAGGAAACACTGGGCAAAACTATGTAAAATGTTTCAGAGACGTTCGCTCAATTTTTTTTTTTTTTTTACAACTAATGACACCTTGGTGATGATGATAATAATAACAACGGCAGAACGATCCAATCATACCTACTAATTCTAACATGTCACAGAATTAGTTGTACATTATTCATATTGCATCGGTCTACAGGCGTGTTAATTCCCCTATGAATCTTTAAACTCAAGCCTTCATTCTCGTTAAATATCCACTTGATTTGCTTTCGGTTATTCTGTCTACGTGTCCATTTAACCTGAACTGCTTATCAGTTGAAATTCATACTCATTCTGTTCATCAGCTTGACTACGTTATCAATGGTATTCACAAATATTATGGTCAGTTGAATCCACACAACTTCCATGGGTAAATTTCTTCTTCGTTGCAAATGATGCTGTTCATAGTTTTCCTCTGTCAGGTTCTACTTTTATGCTAGAGATTTTTTTTTGTCTCTCTCTCTCTTTTTCTCTCTCAGTGGAATAATTAGGAAACGTAATTAAAGTAATTAAAAAGCCCATGTATTTATTTATTTCTTGAATCTGGAATATTTTCCTTTAATATTTTCTTGTTGTTTCTATATTTTGTCGACAGCTGTTAAATGTGTTGTGGATTGATTGAAATAAAAATACAAGATATTTTTATTTAAAAAGACTCGGTTACAGACATGGGACCTGTAACAATAATGTGACTTTGCAATATAAACAGACAGAATAATCTAAGCTAATCGCTCAAACATCGTAATCAAAGACCGCAAAAACAGAATACGCTTTCTTATTGACATAGCTGTCTCTGCAAACTGTAATGTATCTTAAAAACTATCAAAATTCAAGGGTCTTGTTTTGAAATGGAAATTTAAAAAAATGTAGCACGAGAACTTATTACTTATTCCAGTTGTGGTTGGGGCCCTGGGTTTGATAGAAAGGATTTCTGGCATCACACACCTTAAAGAAATACAAAATAATTATTTACGCTATTTACATTGTACGGGCTGTTGTCCTTATATTTATTGTCACATTCACGTTTTGGCCGTTGTAGGCTCCGGGATTCTTCGGGTGATATGTGTTGGAATTTCGAACAGAATCCTATTTAGATGTTCTGATTTCACGTACCATGCCTTTGGATATCTCAGTTTTAGTTAATTCGCTTTGATAAGTTTTTGTTCTCTCCGCCGAGGCCAAGGATTGAACTCACAACTCTGGATGAAATCACTTTTTGGATCAATCAACTGACGCTTTTATCCACTGGGCTACGTTTGTGTTTTAAGTTGTTTTTTTTTTTTTTTTTTTTTTTTTTTAATACAAATTTGTAGTGAGAAATGTCATGATGCCATTTCTGATCTTAGCTCACTGGTTGGGATCCGAGGAGAAATTTGTATACAAGAAAATCGAAGGAAATAATAATATAAACTTGAGGAAAACTCAATAGGAAAATTGTAAAGGTTAAGTTGAATGGAAGAAAGCCGAGGTAAAATACGATCGAAGCTGGTTGTTATATTTTAGAAAAAGAGTTCTTCCAACCTGGCAGCAATTTTAGAAGAGAGGTTGAGCTTCTCTTTGACCAGCGTGGATTCTTTTCTTTTCTTACTTTTGTTGGATACTATTCTTGCTGAGCCAAACACATTTTTCCGTTTTTATATCACCTGAACCACATATTTCCCCTGTGTGAAATCGTACTTGAGTGTTTCACATCAAATTTACGGTGACTTTTTAGTGGGCTTAGAAAATCCTTCAAACCTTTCATTCTATAATTTTTTTATACAACGTTTTCCGTTCAGAATCTATCTGGTACATTTATAATTCGTCCATGTATTGAATACTGTTGTCATATCTCGTCTTATGCTCCTACTACATATCTTGAGATCCTTGACAAAACCCAAAGAAGAATCTGTAATGTTATCGGCCCTGACCTGGCATCTCGACTTCAATCACTTACCCACCGCTGTGACGTGGCTTCCCTCTATCTTTTCTATAAATATTTTTATGACAATTATTCTAATGAACTCACCTACTTAGCACCTTGACTGCAGGAATTTAAGCGTACTACTAGATTGGCTACTAGGTCTCATCATTTGGCTGTTGAATTCGCTAGATGTTACCGTAAGTTCTATTCTCATAGTTTCTTCTCTTGCACTTTTCACTTATGGAACTCTCTTCCTTTACACGATCTTCAAAAATGTAAGTGCAATATCAGTCGTCATCTTCAATTACTTTGTATCATGTCCTTTTATTTTCCTCCCCATCCTCAATTTAAATATCAAAATTAATTTTAATTTAATTTTTAAATATTAACTTTAACTTAAACGATATGTATTGGTTCTGGTCTGTTCATCTTGGTTTCAGTGACTTTCCCACGGCCCCAAATTATATTCTATGTGACTTTACTGTAAATACTTTCATGGTAATTATTTGGATGAACTCTTCGCTAGACTTTATGAATTTAAACGCAGTACTAGATTGGCAGAACGGTCTCATCAATTCATAATTGAATTGGATAAATGTAACCGTATGTTCCATGCTAACAGTTTCTTTTCTCGCTTGTGGAACTCTCTTCCAATTTTTTGCTTTCCTGCTACCTACAATCTTCAAAGATTTAAATAGAATGTCAATCACTACCTTTTCTCTTCTTAAATCAACCTGTACTTTTATTGTCCTTTCTCCTCACTAAACTCTTCTCATTCTCTTCCACTTCAAGTAACTGTTTGCATCTTAATGGCATTATTGTTTTGCTTGGTGTGAAAAGAATTGTTCTATCACGTCAGTAGTTTGTGACTGGACTAAAAGAGTGTGTTTTAGATTATATCGGATATGCTGATCCCAAATCTATACTCAGAAGTGTTCTATCACGTTACGATATTGTATTATACGAATATGCATCATTGGGTAGACTGTTATACGGAGTCAAAAATATTTTTGTTGTACAAACTAATGATGCTGTACGAGACTAAATTAAGTTGTCTCCAGTGTCTATCTTACATATCCATAAGTTTACCATTTGTCCATCCTAAGAATATTGCTGTCACATATGATGCTCCTGCTATCTATCTAGAACACCTAGATAAAATCCAGAGAATCAGCAATATTATTGGCCCCGATCTGACGTCTCGGCTTTATTTACTTTGCCACTACCATAAAGTTGTCTCCCTTTGCCTTTTCTTTAAATACTTTCACATTAATTGTTCGAATAAGCTCTTTGCTATGATGCCTAAACTCTTCGAATTTAAGTGAAATACTATTCTGGCGACGTGGTCTCACCAATTTACAGTTAAGCTAGCTATATGTAATCGTAAATTCTATGCTAACAGTTTCTTTCCTCGCACTTCTCACTTGTGGAACTTCCTTGCGGCTCCATGCTTTCCAGCCAACTTTAATCTGAAAAACTTAAAATGCAATGTCAATCGCTATCTGCTGTCCTCCTGATTAATCTTCCTCTGTACTCACACCTTAGCAATGTTCCTGTTTCTAAATCTTCCACACCCAGTAGCCCCTTACGTCTCGGTGGCTTTATTACGTTACTTGGAGTGAACTCGATTAAAAAAAGTATGCTAATTCTAAAGTTGTACTCGGAATTGTCCATACACATCAGGTTGTTGAGATGTGCAGAGCGCCTGTTTATGTTGAGGGTAAATATATTAATTGTATCTTACTATCCACTAGAGCTGGGAGCATGAGATTCATTTGTTAGCTTTAGAGAATTTTTGCGGGTTTTGTAACTGTTGTAGCATACGTACGGATGATAATGGGTATGTCCCCATTCACATAAATACAGTAGTAAATACTGTATGTTGGTCTAGAGTTGGA